CTCTCTCTCTCTCTCTCTCTCTCTCTCTCTCTCTCTCTCTCTCTCTCTCTCTCTCTCTCTCTCAGTCCGGTACTAACCTGTGAAGGTGGCACCCTGTTGCAGGTACATTGAAGACGAAGCTGGAGCTATGGCGCCACATTTAAGTCTCCCTGGCCTCCGCCAACCATCGCTCTCCCTCTCTCTCCAATGCTACTCTAGCTCCTGCTAGCGCCCAGCGTTGAAGACTACTGCTAACGCTACTACTATTCCTGTAGCACTCCTCCAGAGTGCTGCTGCCGAATCCTGAAGACTACCTCCTGCCTTCTGCACGTGAAGTGCCTGGGAAGTTCCTATGAACTGCCTCGTGACCCCCTGCAGCCTGTAGGGCGGGCCAGTCTTATATAGTGCTGGCCCGTCCAGGAGGCCGCTCTTGCCAATGCCAAAACGTGCCAGGCGTTGAAGTTCAAACAAAGGTTGTCTTGAAAACAGGCCCAAAATGGCCTGTGCTAAAACCCTGGTTTGGTGCCTAAGTTTCAGCGCAGATCGATCTTATGAGGGCCTGAAAATGGCCCTCCGTTTCAGGCTGAAAAGACTCAGGGCCTGTAGGCCCTTGTTTTCAGGCTTTCAGGCTGAAACGACACAGGGCCCGTAGGCCCTCGTTTTCAGGCTTTTAGGCTGAAACGAAAACAGGCCCTACACCTACGGACCCTTAGTCTACCTGGCCGGGCCCTGCTGGGCCCGTGTGGTACTGAGTATGCCACACACACTGTCCGAGAAGGGCACATCTTGCCTGCTGGTATGGCCAAGGTGCCTTGTTCATGTATCAGACTTTTAGCTGCAACCTGGTAAGTATGAATACCTAGAACACAGTCCCGAGCTGGAGTGAACTGAAGGGCCGTGAAGGCGTACCTTCGATTCTGTGCAGGGAACTTCCCAGCCAGGAACTCAGATCCCAACCCAGACCTGAATGCCCAACCAGTACCAGACTCCAACGGTGATTCCCGATGTCTTCTCCCGTCCATCCACCTCCAACCATTCATCCCTTATCCATCCATTCATCGCTCTATGAGCCTCTATCCCCATTCTATCTAATGCCTGTTTAAACCACCAATACATTTCCCAGATTTTGTTCCGGTGCAGCGGTCAACATACCATTTTCTTGGGGCTCAGCCTACCAAACTGAAAAAGCTGGCAATGCCAGGCAAAAAGATGTGATTCCGTGCCTAGTTCTTTCTTTTTTTTTTGTCGCATGTCAGAAATCAGCATCTGGAAAATGAGGCTCGGACATACTGGTGGTTTAATAGATCCATCTACCTACATTCATCAACAGGCCGACCTGACATAAGCATTCACGAACAGGCTGAACTAACAACGCACCCACTGGTTCTCAAAGGAATTGAGTGACCTTGTGTGGATGATTCTCCTTTCTCTTCTTCTTTTTTTCTTTTGCAATGCGGCATCTACCAGACACCCCCAGGAGGAACATCCCAGGTATCAGAAAAGGAAAAGTCTCCACAAAGTCTGCACACCCTGCCCACCCCTTTTTGAGGCCAGAGCTCAGCCTACCCATCCATCACAGAGGTGATGAACCGGATTCGCAAAGCCAGTCGGTAAGTATATCATTGATGAAAACGTTGATGATGATAAAAAAGATGCAGCATGACAACACCATCACCTTCGCATCAGCCTCAAGGCATTTCGGTCAGAGAGGAACATACCGAGTCCAGAAAGGACTATGTGCACAAAGCCTGCACTGTGCCCACTCATTTTCTGAGGTCAAAGCAGGTGCTACCCATTCATCACAAGCCTGACACTCCCATAGGCCTTAGAGGTGGTGCCATCTCTGCAGGAGTTTGGGCATAATCTCAAACATTTCATGCTTTTTATTATGGTAAGTTGGTAACTAAGAAACTGATGACTATGTTGAACATTTTCTGCAGGAGTTTGCATTTGATTCAGCGCACACATTCATCCCCCACCCCCCCTCCCCACTTCCCCCTGGGACCCTAACACACACACACACACACACACACACGCACACACACACACACACACACACACACACACACACACACCAATAACATGCGTAAAAATTTCGTATAGCTAGATTGAGGACTGGCAGAATGGGAAAGATATTGATTTTCAGCCCACCTGTCCGCAAGGGAAGAGTAACTGAGCGGAAAGGAAATGCCATCATCCTCTTCTTGCTTCTCCCTTTCACCTGACCGTGAATAAAGTGCATGATACCGTCGAGGCAAGAGTCTATGTTCGAGCAGCTCATTCCACAATTGCCCAGCAGCTCTCTCGCAAGGGCCATTAGCCAGGAAATGCATGATGAGGAAGTAAACCTCTCCCAAATCCACCCTTATATCATCTTGAGCTGGACCTCGAACTGGCCCCACAGCTCCTGGTCCATTTTGCTGAGCCACAGAATCCGGACCACTGCTGGTACTAACAGGAGCCCCACCTGCTGCCTGTTGCTGCTGGACCCGTTGCTGACGCCGTGCCTGCTGTTGAAACTGGCGTTGCGCCAGGCCTGGAACTCCTCCAGGAGAAGGACGTGATCCTGATCGTGATCCTGCCTGTCCGGGCTTATCACACATGACAGGTGGATGTCCTACTCCCCCTGCAGAGGCTCCTGCCATCCCTGCTCCTTGGTCCCTTGCTCCTGCTGCTACTGCTACTGCTGGAGTAGCTGCAGCAGCTGCTTCTCCCACAGGAGGGCCTTCAGTTATTCCACCAGCCCAGCCAGTTCCGCCGACACCCAAGGCAGTGCCCCCTGCCGAGTCCCCAACCCCTGCTGCCATCCCTGCTCCTTGGCCCCTTGCTCCTGCTGCTACTGCTGTAGCTGGATCAGCTGGAGCTGCTGCTCCTCCCACAAGAGGGCCTTCAGTCGTTCCACCAGCCAAGCCAGTTCCACCGACACCCAATGCAGCACCCTCCCCCGAACCCCCAACCCCTCCCGCCACCCCTGCTCCTTGGCCCCTCACTCCTGCAGCTACTGCTCCTGCTGCTGCTGCTGCTGCTACTGATGCTGCTGGAGCAGCTGCAGCTGCTTCTCCTCCCACAAGACGGCCTTCAGTCATTCTACCGTCCCAGCCAGTTCTACGGACACCTAAGGCGGTGGCCCCTCCCGAGCCCCCCACCCCTGCTGCCATCCCTGCTCCTTGCCCCCTCGCCCCTGCTGCTACTGCTGCTGCTGGAGCAGCTGCAGCTGCTGCTGCTCCCACAAGAGGGTCCTGGGTTGTTCTACCAGCCCAGTCACCTCCACCGACACCCAAGGCAGTGCCCCCTGCCGGCCCCCCAACCACTGCTGCCATCCCTGCCCCTTGGCCCCTTGCTCGTGCTGCTACCGCTGCTGCTGCTGCTGCCACTGCTGCTGCAGGAGCAGTTGCAGCTGCTGCTCCTCCCACACGAGGGCCCTCAGTCATTCCACCAGCCCAGCCAGTTCCACCAACACCCAAGGCAATGCCCCCTGCCGAGACCCCAACCCCTGCTGTTGCTCCCACTAGAGGGCTCGGAACTCCTCCAAGAGAAGGGCGTGACCCTGATCGTGACCCTGCCTGTCCTGGCTTATCACACTTGACAGGTGGATGACCTACTCCCCCTGCAAAACCTCCTGCCATCCCCGGTCCTCGACCTCTTGCCGCTGCTGCGACTGCTGCGGCGGCTACTGCTGCTGCCGGAGCAGCTGCAGCTGATGCTGCTCCCACAAGAGGGCCCCCAGTTGTTCCTCCAGCCCAGCCAATTCCACTGACACCCAATGCAGTGCTCCCTGCCGTGGCCCCAACCCCTGCCGTTCCTCCCACAAGAGGGCCTGGAACTCCTCCAGGAGCAGGACGTGATCCTGATTGTAATCCTGCCTGTCCTGGCATATCACACGATACAGGTGGATGCCCTACTACCCCTGCAAAACCTCCTGCCATCCCTGCCCCTCGGCCCCTCACTGCAGATGCTGCTCCTCCCACAAGAGGGCCCTCAGCCGTTCCTCCAGTCCAGCCAGTTCCCCCGGAACCCAAGGCAGCGCCTCCTCCTGGCTTATCACACGATACAGGTGGATGCCCTACTACCCCTGCAAAACCTCCTGCCATCCCTGCCCCTCGGCCCCTCGCTGCAGATGCTGCTCCTCCCACAAGAGGGCCCTCAGTCGTTCCTCCAGTCCAGCCAGTTCCCCCGGCACCCAAGGCAGCGCCCCCTGCCAAGCCCCGAGCCCCTGCCACTCCTCCCACAAGAGGGCCCTCAGGCGTTCCACCAGCCCAGCCAGTTCCACCAACACCTAAGCCAATGACCCCTGTTGAGCCCCCAACCCCTGCTGCTCCTCCCACAAGAGGGCGTGGACCTCCTCCAGGAGCAGGACGTGATCCTGATCGTGATCGCGCCTGTCCTGGCTTATCGCACGTGACAAGTTGATGTCTGACTCCCCCTGCAAAAGTTCCTGCCATCCTTGCCCCTCGGCCCCTCGCTGCAGCTGCTGCTCCTCCCACAAGAGGGCCCTCAGTCGTACCTCCAGCCCAGCCACTTCCACCAACACCCAAGGCAGTGCCCCCTGCCAAGCCCCCAACCCCTCCTGCTCCTCCCAGAAGAGGGCCCTCAGTCGTTCCACCAGGCCAGCCAGTTCCACCAAAACCCAACGCAGTGCCCCCTGCCAAGCCCCCAACCCCCGCTGCTCCTCCCACAAGAGGGCCTGGAACTCCTCCAGGAGCAGGATGTGATCCTGATCGTGATCCCCCTTGTCCTAGCTTATCACACGTGACGAGTGGGTGTCCTACTCCCCCTGCAAAAGGGTCTGCCATCCCTGCGCCTCGGCCCCTCACTGCAGCTGTTGCTCCTCCCACAAGACGGCCCTCAGTCATTCCAACAGCCCAGCCCATTCCACGAACACCCAAGCCAGAGCCCTCTGCCAAACCCCCAACCCCTGCTGCTCCTCCCACAAGAGGGCCCTCAGTCATTCCACTAGCCCAGCCAGTTCCACCAAAACCCAAGGCATTGCCCCCTGCCGAGCCCCCAACCCCTGTCCCCACCGCCATGATTCTCTCTCCCATTTCTCTCATCCTCTCTCCCATTTCCGCCGTCCTCTCTCCCATTGCCGGCATCCTCTCTCCCATTTCCATCATGGCTCTCCATAATCAATCAATGCCATCACTCCCTGCATGAAGCCAGCATCATTCACCAATTCATGGTGTGTCAGCGTACTCATCATTCAAACATGCTACAATCAACTATTTGATGCAACCTCTTTCCTTCTCTCTCTGGAAGACAACAACAAATGCAGGTCAAGACCAGCAAGGCAACCCATAGAGGAGAGAAGAAGCAATGCAAACGCTTTAGCAAATGATCAAAGAGGAGTAAGAAGGCAACAACAAAGGAGCATAGGACGATGACCACGAAGAGAAAGCAGAGGAGAGGAGAATGAAGCGAAAGAACACGAAGAGAGTAACAAATAGGGAGATAATGCGGAGGAGAATGATTGCGACCACTTGAAAGTGGATTTTCTCAGTTCAAGAACAGAGACAGCGACGACCTAGATGACGATAAACCCAGCTAGGGGAACCACAAGTAAACGCGACAGCAACAACAATAACCATGAACTAACGTTCAATGTCTTAATCAGTCCTTGAATTCAAGTGCAAACCAACCTGTGAGACAAAGAAAAACTCAAAAGTGTTATGATCCCGGCCGATTTCGAAGTACACATTTATCAGAAAGTACAATGCCGTCCAATTGCAAAACGAAATGAATGAACTTGAGAGGAGAGAGAGGGAAAGAAGAACAAGAAGATGAAAGAAAGAAGAAGAAGATGATGTACACCAGCATAGACCAATGATAATGCTCTTCTTCTTCACCAACCACTCTCCTCCTCCATATCTCCTCCCCTCTTATTCAATCAAGAAATACTAATAATAAGGTTGAATGCCTGAACCAGAATCAATGTCCGATTCCCTCTTGTACTGCAGGTATCACATGAGGTCCTCCATAGCCATGGCCGCCCTTCATCCTCCTCCTTCCAAGGCCGAGGCTATTGCAGACTACCAGGGCATCGCCCTGCTGTGCAAAGGACAACACAAAGCAGCGATGGCTGCTCTAGCTCAGGCCGTCATGCCTGACTCTGCCTTGAAGCTTCTTGGTGTAGCTCTACCCCAACTGGGGCCTTCCTGCTGCAGTGCCCACCAAGGTGATGAAGATGGCAACCACCATAGCCAGGTAAGTACCTCTGGCGCTCCCCCTTCCTAGTCCTGGTCTTCTTCCTCCTCCGTGTCCTTGATCCTTCCCCAGCAGCGCTGCTCCAAGCTGCGCTGCTCCAGCCAGCGCTCCAACCAGTGTGTCGCCAAACTTGCACACCGACAATGAGGAGGAGCACCTTGCTCCTCCTGGAGATATAGCGGCCTGCTTGCCACTTGGCGAGTGACTTCCTAGGCCGCGCGGCCTCCAAGCAACCGGTACGTCCTCCCTTTCGGAGGGAAACATCATTGCAGACACTGATATTGCCCGTACAGGCCCTAGACTCAGACTGGTTGGACTGGTACCCGCCTAGACCTAGCCTACAACTCCTGTGCCTCTAAAAATGCCAGCTTTTGTGTTACAGTCTGCGACTTCACACGGGCCTTCACAGGCCCGACACACCGGTTTTGGGGTACCCAGGCCGGCCTTGCCAAAGGCCAGGCCTTTTTCCTCCCGGTAGGCCCTATTAGGCCACCGGTTGGGCCTCAGCGCCAGCAGACCCAGGTCTGGCCCAAACGACAAACCGTTTGGGCCTGGAGGCGCTCTTGAGGCTGCCGCCCACCGGTCTGGGCTGAACGGTCATTTCGCCGGTTCAGCCCACGGCGCAGGAGGCCAGCATTGAGGCCGACCGGCCGCCGGACGGTACTTGGGCCGGTCCAGCGGCCATTCATGCAGGTTGGAACGAAAAGCAGCCAGGAGAACGCTGAGCTATTTGGTTGAGCACAGCGCCAGGGACTGCAGCGATAGTTTAGCGCACTGCAGCCCAGGAGGAACAAGGAGGCAAGGAGGACTTACCTGCGACAGTTGAGCGCCGTAGTTCCAGCGACCTGCATCCGGACTCCTGCCGCCGCCAAGACGCCAGCTTGCATCCTGCAGGTTTGGACTGAGGCCCTCAACAGCTTCCCCTCTCCTCTCCTCTCCATCTTATTCTCTCCATCTCCATCTTCTTCTCTCCATCTCCATCTTCTTCTTCTTCAGACTTCTTCAGACTTCCTCTTCTTCTTCTTCAGATTGGAGACTTGCTACGAGTTGGACAGAGATCAGTGTTGGATTTTGGTGGTAAGAGAGGCTGTGATACTTACCGGATTCGAGACTTGGAGATTGTTGGGGTTGATACCCGGCGGCATCACAGATTGGACACCGGTCACATTAGGACTCTGTACCTCCGACATTGGTGGCTTATTGTCCACGACATTTTGATCTTGTTCGATGACATTTTGAACTACCATATCGGTGACCTACTGGATTCTATCTCGGTGACATCTGGCGCTGCCTACATCTCCCACCTCCTTCGTCTCTCCTCCCACCTTTCATCTGTGCATGGTTGTGCAGGGCCTGAGCATCGTCTATGATTGGCTCAGACCCCACCATCTCACGATTGCTTGTGTGTTGAGTGATATCTGTATGGGTTCAGTCTATGTGAGTCAGTCCATTTATCAGACTTCCGCTGCATACATGCTCACCCTATATTGGTTGATCTTTGGTTCTGCTCATACTTGTTGAAGTACTCACTAGTATGCAACATTTTGTCTTCTTCTGCTCGGCCTCGATTACCCAGCACATCTACCTCTACCTGGTGTGGTACCGGCCTACCAGCTACTTGAGTGTTTTCTGCTGCTTCAAATGTCGCAAGCCTCTTTCCCCGCCACTTGAGTGTTTTTCCCGCTGCGACCCTCAATGTCACGGCCATAGGCCCTTTGGGCCTTTCCGAACAACAAAGTGCCCTTGCGGGTCACACACACTCAAGCCGACAAGCACTCAGACAGGCATGCAGACCAGCAACCATGCACCCACACAGACTTAGAAAACCCAGCAACAAGCGGGACACTCAGTAAGGCATACATTCCATGAGCAAAACTCAGAAATCAGCTGTGTGTCTCAGTCCATGTTTGGCACGTCATTACAAAAGTGAAAAAGGGTTTAAAAAGAAAATAAAAAGCATGCAGGTTGAAACAAACATGTCGCGGATGGCCGGTAGCTCAGTGGGTGGAGCAACAGTTGGAAATGTGTTTTGTGGTCTGAGGTTGCAGGTTCAATAACTCTGCACCCTCGTGCATGGATACCGGTGGGCGTTGACCGACATGCGGCCACTCGCACACCCCCTTTGGGCTGACGCATGGTAAGGATTATAGACACTGCCTGCACACCACCCAAGGGCCGTAGTCCATGGTTGTAGTATGCTGGTAGCGGGCTTTGGAAGGGCTGTCAGAGTACTTCGTCTATGGTAAGGTCTGACGATCAGGGTCATGTCTCGTGTCCTTCCCCGAGGGGGGGAAGGAGGGGGGATGGTGGCGCGGGCTGAGTTTCACTTGTGCTTCACTTGTACTTGCTAGGTGTAGCTGTACGCAGGGCTATTGGCCCTTAACAACTATGGATGGACAGTAGATACCCCGCGTAGAGATAGAGGCCCCATCATCAAGACAGCTTCGTCGCTATGCCCTTGTCTGTGCTTGTCCCATGGGCTGTCTGGGCAGTGTTACTTAGTTTCCGTCCCACTGGTACACTCACGATAGTCCACACACCATGGGCTGTACACTCAAGATAGTCCACACACCATGGGCTGTCTAGGTACTGTTCCTTAGTTTCCCGTCCAGCTGGTACACTCACGATAGTCCACACAGACATGATTCTGCGGCCGAGGCGTGTGGGCCATCTCTCTACGGACCTGCTTGAGTAGTAGTAGGGGCTGGGTGTTAAGGCTGGGTGTTAGACACATCTGATTCCCGAGGGCAAGCTTTCCCTCTATATCTTGCGATGCCTAAGGGCTGCACATCATCCGGGATGGTATCTGTGGGAATTGTCATTCATGGTTCAGCTGGGTTACGATTCCTTGGGAGAGTCTCTGGCTAGGAGTATCACCTACCGGTAGAAGGGTCGGTGGGATGTCGCATCGATAGTAGAGGGGTGGATAGCTGCCCATAGAGTCTGCTTTATGTGACACATGAGGAGGTATGACTGTCTCTACAGGACCCCTCCTGTGTCCGGGTCGTCCTCTGGGGCCCTCTGCTGGCCAGGGAACCACATACTTAGACGTTACCCCGTGGCATAGCAGGGTTGGTCCTTAGAGATGTCTCTATGGCGAGCTCCCCGGAAGGGTTGCGGGTAAGTGTAGTCTATGCCTGGGCTTAGGGGTTGGCTAGGGTACACTGCTGTAGAGCTCCACTTGCGATCTGCTATGAGATTAGACTAGGGAAAAAATGATATTCCCAGGGGCAGACAATCCCTAGCGAGTTCGCAACCCATTGGAGCCTCCCATGGCTGAGTACTACAGGCGTTTCCCGAGGCCTGGCATCCAGCCTCTACTACTACCTGGACTTTTCTTAAAAAGAAAAAAAACGAAAAAAAAAAAAAAGAAACAAATATGTCAATGATGAAGATGAAGCTGAAGATGTGACCACGAAAAACAATATCTCAAAAGTGAAGCTATGGATGAAGTTCGGATATACATGAATTTTAGAGACCAAAGATCGATGAGGGAGATCGATGAGGGACTTGATGGTTGTACGGATGCCAATTGTCCGTCGGTTGCAAAGGGACCTCCCTCGGAGTAGTCGTACCACCAATGACACTGCCTTATGGTGTAGACTGTCAAGACAGCAGCAGCATGGTGAGCTTGCTTTTAAGCATGTGTCGTACCAATGACATACTCTTACATGTTCAACACACTCCGAAGTATATTCATCCTCAACTACTGACACAACACTTGAGGTACTCCAGACACAAAGACACCGACAATAACTTAGGCTAACACAATGACAGCGACCTGATACTCCCCAAGCTTATCTATCTGGATAAGAGGTCCACTTGTAAGAGCATCCACAAAACATTTTCAAATCCACGTATAAGAGCATCCACCAAGCATTTCCAAAAGAGTTAGAAAGCACCGGTACATGGGGCACCTGGGCCGCGGGTTCTGGAGGCACGAAACGAAAACACCACCACCGATCGAATTTATCAATGGTGGGCTCAGTGTTTGACGTTCCGGCCTCGTTTTCTTGTGGCAACAAGTTTCGGACTGGAAGGCCGGGGCCGTGTACTTGTGGTTTAACAAGGTCGCAAAAGCAAACCATATCTGGAATATTGGCCTGTTCCAAATGCTGAAGAAGCTGTGCCCGAAAAAGGTCATCAGGTCAGTTTGGGGAAAACGTCTTGAGAGGCTTTTAAAAAAGCATAGGCTTTGGGTCAAAGGTTGCATCTTTCAACAAAAACCAAGTCACCAACCTGGACTGTAAGATCCATCCAGCATTGGTTGGCCTTCGTCAACTACTTGCGATGGAGAGCTAGCTATGGTAGCACAAGTGTGATCTAAGATAAGAAACACATTTGCGACCAATTACCGAAGTGACTTTATGAAGGCCAAAGGAACTCCATGGAGATGAAAGAACAAGGCGACATCCTTGTGATTGGTGACAGGACATGGCTGTAGGCAATCTTCACATGGGGAAGATGTAAATATAAATCGCGATCACTGTAAACGAACTTCTTTCCTTGTATTCATTGTGTGCATCTAACCACCAACTCGCGGATGGTACAACATAAGAAACAAATATGTGAGCCATATATGTGGAAACAATCCCAAAAAAAGCTAATGAAGCGCGCATCCCAATTTTGAACGAATAGAACATGGGCTACATCGGTCTGGACTATCTCTGTGTGGGGAAGAAGGTTGCGATACCCAGATGACATCCTTATGGTTGGTGATAGAACATGGCTGTAGGCTATCTCTACACGGAGCACATGTGACTCCAAATCACAATCATAATAGGTGAACTTCTCCCCCTTGCGCTCGTTGGCTCAGTCTAACTATCAAATTGGTCATCTCCGACTCATCAGCAAATACCTACATCCAAAGAGAACTGAGTAAAGGACCTGGCCAAGCAGTCAAATATACAGTGAGAGTTGGCCCCCCTCCGTTAGTCTGCTCTCCTCTTCATGCCGCACATGCTATTCCCACAAAAGTGAGAGTGGGCCCTCCTCCGTTAGTCTGCTCTCCTCGTCATGTCGCACATGCTATTCCCACAAAATAGCAGACTGCAAACAGAAACAAGGTCCCGCAACAGATAAGACTTCTGGTGCCGTGAAATGGAGGCACAAAATCAAGTCTCTTGGGCTAGGCGCGAAGTGCACTGAGAAGTATACCGAAGAAGGATACACCTGAGACTCATTCTCCGCTAAGCCCCTATCAAGGAGCTTGTAGAATGACTTGAGAAGTACGGATTTGTAAGATGCGCTTAGAAAGGTTATCCTCCCTTTGCCAATAAGAAAGAAGGGAGGACAGGTCCAAAATACGCACAACGGCTCGTTTGACCCAACTACACCACAAATACTTTCAGCCAAGCAGGTGTTCTGACCACGCCCATACCTACATGGAAAACAACTGCAGGGAAACGGACCTCAGCAACAAAAGCTTGTGAAGCATATCATTATATCGGTAAATCACACTGGAGCTGCCAAAAAAGGCAGTAATGAAGCCACGTGCACCTCGACGCACCAGACTGATAAGGAACTAAGGGTACGCACTGTCAAATCCATGATGGTGGTTAAGAAAAACTAAAGATATGACAATCTCTGCGCTGTTTGATTCTCTCCACTGTTGAGAATCAAGTTCAATCCACATGGAAATTATAACCCTGTGTTTTACTTCAAAGCACAAACTTCCATTCTCTCTCCCTTTTCATACGTACATTTCCTTAGTTCCCATAGCAAGCCCAATCATTGCCAAACCGACAAGCTCACCGTATACACCAACTGCTGGCATGAAGGATACCCACAAAGAAAATTAAAACGAACTATCACCTACTCACATAATATATTAAACTTCACAGACTGTCAAGTCCAGCCCGCCATGAGCAGCCA